ATAGCATTGGCCATAACTGGCCAAGTCACTAGTTAATTAATGAATAGTAGTAGTGACAGGAGAAATTCTTGTCTTGTTTCTGACTTTGATAGTGTTGCTTTGAAAGTTTCAGCATTTAGGTATAAGGTTTGCTGTAGTTTCCTACACATTTTTGAAATTGTGAGTACTGAATTTTATCAAAGTTTTTATTATATCTTCTGAGATGATCGTATGTTATTTTGCCTTTAGTCAATGTGATGGATTACACTGATACATTTTTATAATGTTGGGTCACTCTCACATTCTTGGGATAAGTGACATTTGGCCATGATGTATTTATTTTTTTCTAGAGCTATCACTGCCTTTTCTTTTTCTTTTTTTTTTTTTTAAAGATTGGCACCTGAGCCAACAACTGTGGTCAATCTTCCTTTTTTTTTTTTTTTCCTTTTTCTTCTTCCCCAAGCCCCTCAATATGTAGTTGTATATTATAGTTGTAGGTCCTTCTTGCTGTGCTATCTGGGATGCTGCTCCAGCATGGCCTGATGAGTGGTGCCTTGTTTGCACCCAGGATCTGAACTGGTGAAACCCTGAGCTGCTGAAGTGGAGCCCACAAAATTAACCATGAACTTGACTGGCCCAGGGCCAGCCCCTGGTCATGATGTATTTTTAATACACTGATTAATTTGATTTGTTAATGTTTCATTTAGTATCTCAGCAACTATGATCATAAGATACTGGTTTATAATTTTCTTTTCCTGTTTTTTACGATTTTGGTATCAAAATTCCTTTCAGATGCATATATGCTCCCTTCACCTCATGTATTGTGGGTTCCTGCATCATTTCTCATTCACAGAAATTGTTGTCCTAATTTTGAACAAGGCTATGTACTTTAATACATTTGAAAATATTTCATCTGTCATTACTATGTTTTTCAAGTCAGATAAGGGAAGTATCTGTTTGGATTCATTTCACTAATTAACAGAAAGTCCTTTTTTTAAGATTTCACCATTATTTCAATGGACTCAGAAGAAAGAAAGGATATAAAAATACACTATGAGACTTCCCATTCCAGAGAAGATGAAATAGGCACGTTTTTGTTTATTTTTCCCACTAAGCACAGATAAAAACCCTGGATATTATATAAAAAACACAAACAAGAAGATCCTAAAAGGTGGAGAAAAGAAGGGCTGGCTATGGACTTCTAGATCTGAGAAATGATACAGTGGTTAGTTCCCTGTTTGTTTGCTTTTTACCTATATATCCTGGGCTGTGTGTTAGACAAGACTGTAACCCAGAAATGCCAATCCCAAGGAAAGCCTGTTCTCTCCTGGCAAAGGACTGGAAAAAAGACAGCATAGCAAAACAGAAACCTTTAGACAACAGCCACCTTATTCTAGCCAAATACCACTGGAAAAATGTGGGGTCCCACCCTATCAGCAAAGGCCAAGTAGAAAGCCTAGACTTCCACGCTCCTTTGGCAATAAGGAGGAATCCCCCTCCCTCCCCACTTGGGTGATAGCAGAAGAGCTTGAGTGGGAAGACTGAAATTCCACCCCCACCCTAAAGTAATGACGCAATACTCCTCCTTCTTGCTTGGGATGGTATTGAGGAAGGTCAAGCGGAGAGTCTAGATTTTCACAACCACCCAGTGGTAATAAGGTCACACCCTCCACAACCACTGTCAAAAATCACTCATCATACCAAGAACCAGGAAAATATTAACTTACATTTTAAAAAGGCAATCAATAGGCATCAAAACCAAGGTGACGTATGTTGAAATTATCTGACAAGGATTTTAAAGCTGCCATCATAAAAATGCTTCAACAAGTAATTATAAACACACTGGAGACAAGAAAAACAAAAACACTGGAAAGTCTTAGTGAAAGAATCAGAGATATAAAGAAGAATCAAAGGAAAATTTTAGGACTGAATAATACAATAACTAAAATTTAAAACTTGCTTGTTGGGCTTAATAGCAAAATGGAGATGATAAAGGAAAGTATCAGTGTACCTGAAGATAGACAATAGAAAATATCTGATCTGAGCAATAAAGAGAAAATAGACAGAAAAAAAATAAAAGAGACTCAGAGCTTTATGGGGCAATAAGAAAGATCTAACATCTATAACATCAGAGTCCCAGAAAGAGAGGAGGAAAAATAAGAATGTGGGGCTAAAAAGAATGTATTCAAAGTACTGAAATTTCCCCAAACTTAGCAAAAGGCATAAACCTACAGATTCAAGAAACTGAATGAACCCCACACAGGAGAAACTCAAGAAATACGTAGCAAGACACATCATAATTAGCCAGCTGAAGATAACAACAAAGAAAAAATCTGGAAAACAGCTAGAGAGAAACAACACATTAACTACAGGGGAAAACAATTTGAATGCTGATTTCTCATCAGAAACCATTGAGGGAAGAGGACTGGCATAGCCTCTTTCAAAGGCTGAAAGAAAAGAACTGCCAACCTAGAATTCTATACCTAGGAAATGAAAGTGAAATCAATACATTGTCAGGTAAAGGGAAACTAATAGAATTTGTCACCAGCAGACCTATCTCAAGGGAATGGCTAAAGGACTATCTTGAAACAGAAAGAAATAATAAAAGAAGGAAACTTGGAACACCAAGAATGAAGAAAGAACAATGGAAATAGTAAAAATATGGTTAAATATACTAGATTATCCTTTTCCTCTTGATTTTTCTAAATTATGTTCCACAATTGAAGCAAAAATTATAGCATTACCTGATATGGTTCTCAATGTATGTAGAGGATGTATTTAAGACAAGTTATTAAGGAGGGATCTAAAGGAATTTAGTTAAGGTAAGGTTTCTGCATTTCGGTTGAACTGGTAAAATGTCACCAGTAAACCACAAGTTTTGTATGCATAATGTAATGCTTAGAACAGTCATTAAAAATTCTGTTCAGGGCTGGAGAGGAATTGAATCTTTCATAAATTGCTAGTGGGAATGTAAAATGCTACAGCCACTAGAAAATAGTTTGGCATTTTCTTTAAAAACTACACATACATTTACCATATGACCCAGCAATCATACTCCTGGACATTTATCCCAGAGAAATGTTTTGCTTTTCGTATTTTGAAGATCTGTTATTACCAGAGATGCACATTTATGATTGTTATTCTTCCCTAATAAATTGATCCCTTTATCATTATGAAATGTCCCTCTTTATCTCTTTGTCCTAAAGTCTGCTTTATCTGATATTAGTCAAGTTAATTTTGTTTTCTGACACCTAGTGGCTAAAATGAAATATCTTTATCCATTCATTTACTTTAAGCCTAGCTGTATCTTTTTACTTAAAGTGCAACTCTTGTAGACAGCATATAGTTTTGTTTTTATCCATTTAAAAAATCTTTGCTTTTTAATTGGAGTGTTTAGTCTATTTATTAGTGTAATTACTGATATATCTGGATTTAGGTCTACCATTTTATTGTGTTTTCTGCTTGCTCACTCTGCTTTTGGTTTCACAATTTCTCTTTTCCTTTCTTTTTTAGAATTATCAATACAATTTTTTTTAGAATTCCATTTTGGTGCCTCTCTTGACCTTTTAACTCTTCCTAATTCTATTATTTTCTTAGTGGTTTCTCTTTATTTGCCATTTGGGTATCCTTTTTAATGAAGTGCCTATTTGAGACTCTTGTCCATTGGGTTATGTGCCTAGTTCTTACTGATATGTAGGACTTCTTTGTATATGATGGCTATAAGAATCTGGTGGAATAAGTATATTACAGATATCTTCTCCCACCATATGGCTTGTCTTTTTACTCTCATAATGTTTATTTTGATTAAAAAAACTTTTTAATTTTGCTGTAAAATACTCAGCTTTCATTTTCTCCCTGTAAGATAGGGATTATGGTAGTATCTCACTCACAGGGTTGTTATGAGGAATAAATAAAAGAATCATGTACTCCTGGCACTTAGCAAACTCAATAAATAGTATTATTATTCCCAGTGCTACCTTTTTGTCCCTCATCTAACCTTCTATTTCCTTCCATTTACTCTGTTCTGAATCTCTGAAATGTCATACAGCGTAGCAGAAAAGCCTGCCTATGTGGCCTTGATCAATTCCTAGACTCTGAGCCTGTGATTTCCTACCTGTAAAATGGGGTTACCATCACCTTTCGAATTCAATTCATTTTCCCCCTTCTTTGTTGAACAGGTGTCACATAGGAGCTGCTGAAATAAACAAGGAAGAGGCTAGAGATGAGTCACTCAAGTGTTAGAGCCTTGTAACTCCTCCCACTTTAAGCCCCATCTGGGGAAGCGATGTGAGTACAACATAGGTTCACTTTAGTGACTGACATCCAGAGAACAATATGCTTGGTTCCCCAGGATGCTTCATCTTCATCTTTCTCCTCTGCCAGCTCACGGGTGAGTCCAGCCAGATCCCCCTGATCTCCTGACTGCCTTTCCCATCCTGAGTTGTAGTTCCAGGCTCCAGAGTCCACTTTGCGCTTCTGACTCAACTGAGGAGGCTCTTCTCCTTCATCTGATATTGCTTTACATCCTGTGGTCTCTGAATCACAGAGGGCAGCAAGAGGCTGGAGGGAGGAGAGAAGGAACGACTAGGGACTGACTCCCTTCTGACTATCCCAGGGAAGGAAGGGCTGAAAGAAGTGGTGTTGGGTATCAGGAAGACCTGTGTTCTAATTCAGATTCTGCCGTGAAGGAAAAATATTTTTTAAATGATTATGCCTGACAGTGATATTGGTGGAAGCAAACATTTCATTTTTTTCTCTTAACCCAAGGAATCCAATCAGTCTCTACTTAGAAAACAGCTCATATTGTAGGCACTTTATGTTTAATGCCATGAAAGATAGAGGACTTTTCTGTGCCTGTTACAGATATTCTAGTCTTTGAAGATTTTGCTGTCCTCAGGGTTCTCAGAAGGGACCAGGAGCCCCATAAGTTAGGAGTATCTCTCTGGTCATCAAACTCATGGGGTACCACCATGAGCTCTTCCTCTGAGCGCTTGGCATAGTTGGTTTGTTTTTGTGTGCCACAGGCCTGCCTGAAGTGACCGGCCCAAGGCCATATAGTCAGTCAGCACCACCAAACCTTTCCTCCTCACCACCTGGCATTGCTAAGTGTTCGGCATCAGCAGACTCTCACCCTCCTTGAGTTGATTAGAAATTTTCACGTTTAGGAAGCAGCTGGTTCTAAGCAGTAGTCCCAGAATAGGCTCTCACTTTAAAAACCACTCTAGAACAGCAACGGTAAGCAGAAGTGGAACTTGGAGCAGACAAAGTGGGGGAGCATATGGCAGAGCTTTTCAAAACCTTGGGTCCCCACCAGTGACCTGAACTGTGGGAAGCCTGTGTGGGACACCTCCCATGGCTGAAAGGAGACCAAGATTGTCCTAGAGCATCCGTGGGCAAGGCAGTGAAAGCAGTGCTGGCCCTGGACAAGGACTCCTGGGTTTGACACCTTCGTTGCTCTTTTATTAAGGGTAAGTTACTTAGCCTCTGAACCTTGGTCTTCACAAGTATATAACAGAAGATGAAACCAAACTTGCAGGATTATTGTGATATTTTAAATGAGATATCAAATGCAAGACAATTATAATAATAATCACCATTTATTAAATTCCTGCTACGTCCAGGGTGTTTTTTTATACAAGCTCCTCACGAGTATATAAAATAGATATTATTATCCCCATTTTACAGAGGAGCAAACTTAGGCTCAGAGAGGTCAAGAGTCTTGGGTAAGATTATACAGCTACTAAGAGTAGGGCAGAGATTGGGTTTCCAAAGCTAGTGCTCTTTTCATCACACCAAACTGCCTAATGCTGTACCTGACACTGGAGAAATGCTCAAAAAATGTGTATTTGAGCCGAATCTCCCCCAGGAGAGCTAGTTGGGATTCCTTCCCTCTCCAGTTACTTGAGGCCAAGGCAGAAACTGGGAATGCCAAGAAACCCAGGTAACTCTGTTTCTAGGATGTAGATGCACCAACAAGGAACCACCTTGGCCAAGTTCAGAGGGGCCAAGCAGCAGCTCCAGGATTCTCATCTGGAAAATGGGCACAATAAGATTAATCTGTCCCCCTCACAGATTTTATGATGATTCAATGATACCATAGTGTTGAGGAGACAACGACTAAAAAGAAAACAGACAAAGTGGGTGAGGGGATATTGGGGGCTGGGGTGGTGTTCAAAACGACCAGAAGAGACAAGAAGGAGGGGGTGGGAGATGAGTAAGGGGCAGAGCGGTAGGGAGCTTGAAAGCGAAAGTTGTGCGTTAGGGATGGAGTGTTGGCAAAGATGCATGGTGAATTGGGAGGTTGGCACACCTCTGTTTTAAAGCGATCTTTCCAGGGGACATTAGGTAATGGGAAGTTAGGTAAACGGCAGTAGTTTCCAAAATCATTTTTTTCTTTTTTTATCAGTGGTTTCCTTTCATGAAGTGAAATCTTACACAGAAATGAACAAGTTCTTAAATAACTCTAATGCATAGAGTTGAAGCCTCCCTGATGGAGGGGGTGTTCCATAGCCTCTGCCCCATCACCACCTTCCCCACCCTCCCACAACGTACACCTTCTTCTAGGCTTCCTAGAAATACACTGAGGCACTACTACAGACCTGAAGGGTAGCAAGGGGTACAGCTTGGGAAACTCTTCCTTGGGAGCTCTGGTTCCTAACCCTGGCCTTCCACTGACCTGGGACACGTCACTATAACCCTTGGAGCATCAGTATCCTCATCTGTAAGATGGGACTGGACTAAGTAGTCCCTAAGATTCCTCCCAGCTCTGAGCCGCTCTGGTCCTTGGCTTCCATGAAGAGGGTGGCATGACATCCTGGTGCATTCTGATGGAGGCACCAGTCTGGGGAGATTTGCTCCGGCACTGGGCTGGCAAGCAGGAGGTGGGCTTTACAACCTCCCTTCCCCTGAAGTCTTCCTTCTGGGTCTCCATTCCTTGATTCCGGCTGTACTGATGATGTTCTTTTTTCCTGATTTGGCTCCCTCCCTCCACTCAACTCCTGAGCCTTTGGGAAGCAGATTAAGGGGAGGAGGAAATAACCCAGAGGAAAGGGAGGTGGCAAAGGGGAGGAGCTGTTGTCCCTTTCTGTGATAGAGGGCATCTTAGGGCTGACTCTTCTGATGCCGAAGATACCTGAGTCTTCACCAGGGCAGAAGGCAAAGGGTCTCCTGCCCCAGCCCCCTCCACCTCCAGAGGCAGGCTGGCAGGGGCTGTTTGCTCAGGAAACATCCCCCTGTGTGGTGATTGGACATACTATTTTGCTGTGAATTAGCCAGTGACTGATCTATAGGCATTCAATTCCAGATCACCTTCTGAAAAGCTCACCTTGCTGAGAAGCCATCCAAAGACGTTTTAAGAAATCCTTTCCTCACTTTTAGCCATCTTTGCAGAAATGAGACCAAAAAAGTGGGAAGCTTTCTCAAGGCCTGTCCCTTATAACACTACTCCCTGCTCTTGCCTCCCGCCTACCCCTGTGTTGCAGACTGTTCTGGACTTCTCAAAATGCTTTCAAATCCGTATTCACTCTTCATCCTCCCCCAAATCCTGGCAAAAAAGAGGTTGTTGTTTTTCTCCTCTGAAAGTTGAGAACACCGAAACTCGAAGTGGTAAGTGGCGAGGCAGTAGCGGAAAAAATTCAGGCCTCTGAGATGGAGCAACTAACTAACTTCTCATTCCACTTCTGCCACTTCTCAGTTTGGGGCCTTGGGAAAGTCACTAGCATCTTGCAGCCCCAGTGTCCTCATCTATAAAGTGGAGCTTAACCTCTATCTCATGGAGTTGCTTTGAGGATCAAGGAAGATAACTCCCGTTAAACTAGTTTATGAACCACAGAGTGATACCAAGTGTTTGTTGCTGGAGTTATTATTACAGAGGAACCAGAATGGAATCCCAGTCTCCTGACTCCCAGTTAGGCCAACTCTGACTCTTTTACACTGCTCCCTGCTACCTGGGAGGAGAGGCCATCTCCCTGTGTGGGATCTCAGACCCCATCATCAGGTGATCTAGAACCTAATGCCTGTAGACCAGTCAAAGGCTAATTCACAGCAAAATGGTATGTCTATTCACCACTCAAGGGAATATCTCTTTTTGGAGAATTTAAAGTGGAAAATGAAGTGACATTAGTGGGGGATTTTCAGAGGGGTGGGTGCGAGAAAGGGTTGGAGATTTCCTCAGGGAAACTTTCAATTAAGCTTTATGAGTCCTGAATAAGCTTTAGATGAGCAGAGAGAAGGATAAAGCACAAATAAAAGTGTGAGGTAGAAAGTAAACTGGGGATCAGGCGAGGGAGGAGCCCTGGCTGATGTTCTGGTGGTAGTGAGTGGGTGGCAGTCCCACGCTTCACATCTTCCCACAGCATCATATGGTCATCTTGGCCTTGGAGCAAAAGACCTGGGCTTCTCTCAGATACAATCAACCCAGGTTATGTAATACGCTTGAACTAATTACTATTCCAGAGGAAGTAACCACTTGAGCTGGATGCCTGTCCATCTTACCCAAACCACTCTACAAAATGAGGAAGGGGTGAAATGGATGCAGAGGAGGCAAGTTACAACATTCACTGTACTGATCTAGGTGGGAGGGTAGGTGAGTCTCCTGGGGCCCCATCTTCCCAGGCCTTGCAGACGGGTGTTAGTAACTACTTATTCTCTACAGTCTTCTGATCTCACAGATCATGTTAAGTCACCCCATTGTACCTATTACTTCCCCTTTCATAACACAGGTAGTTATTTATTTAATGACTAGCTCCCAACTCCATGAGTGTAAGGAGCATGACTATCTTGCTCCCCGGCTATATCATCAGCTCCTAAACAGCTCCTGGCACAAATATGGAACTAAATAAATTCTTGTAAAAGGAAGGAATGACTGAAGGAGAAGAGCATGACCTACCTAGACATGGTAAAACTCTGTAGGATCACTGCAGATAGAGACACCATCACAGAAAGGGGAGTTTCACTTCAGCCTTGGACAGCTGAGAAGAGAAGTCTCTAGTTTCTGGATCCCTTCTCAGTCAACCGGGAAGAGGAAACAAAACTTGTTAGGACTCACCACCAACCCTGTCCCCATCCTCTGAACTTATGCTTGGGGAATGGCATGGAGCTACTTTCTTCTCTCATGACCCCTCTTCCCGCCCTGAAAATACAACCAAGGTAGAACAAAAGTATTCCATCTAGGTTCATGTTGGCAATTTGCACTGTGCCACCCTCCAATTTCATTGTTCTAACAAGAACAACGAATTTGGAGACATTTTCCTACATCCCCACACAACTCACACCTCGACATTTATCCTGAGAATATAGCACTACACGTGCGAAGAAGTGAAAAGAACAATTGCTTGTGGCTTAAATGCACGTATACCTGGTGAAGCGCTAAAGCCCTCTTTGCAGTTTTCTCACCTCCTCGACTTAAATATCTCCGCCAAACCTCGTGTGAGAATGAAACTACTCATAATAGCCTAAATCCAGTCATTGCACCTTGGGGGCAAGTGATACCTAATCTTTATTTGACTGCAAATTATTCAGCCCTGCCATCTCTGTTGTTGAAGAAAAAGAAAGAATGCATTAATTGATCAATCAAAAATGCAAAATGAAATTGATCTTGTCTGTAACATTTATTGAGACTATTTTGGCATCCTTTGAGACGATCAAAGAGAGAGCAACTGAAAACCTATCCTGCCTTAGTAATAGGGAACCAGGGAAAGCAGCTTCTTGAAAAATCAGATTACTTATTTAACAGGATGATTTGATAAAGTCTTGAGGGATTCAAAGTATATATGCACTGAGTGATAAATTATAGGGGGAAAATGTTTGAAAACAGGAATCAGCTCCTAAAGACCCTAGACCTGTAGTCAAGGGACTAGGTCAACATTGGGTAGCATCAGATTCTCTTACTTTGGGGCACAGGTGGAGCAGCTTGTGCTTGAGGGAAGGTCACCAAAGGACAGGAAAGGGAAATCAGGATTTCATGAGGCCCAAAGCTTTCAGAGTTGGCACCTACTCTCTAGAAGGAGCTGGAGAAGGGGAATGAGGGAGAGGCTGGAGCTGATACCCATGTCAGGGGGCCTTCAAATTGAGATGTAGAAAGAGTCTAGGCTCAAGAGCTGGAATGACATTGGGTTAACTCCTCAAATCACCATCTACCAGTTTTATGCCTTTGGACAAGTTACTTAGGCTCTTGTGAATCTCAATTTTCTCATCAAATCAGGAGTTAAACTTCTGTTATAAAGGGCCAGACAGTAAATATTTTAGGGTTTGCAGGCAATATGGTCTCTGTAACAACTACTCAACTCAGCTAAGTTGTAGTGGAACAGTAGCAATAGACAATATGTAAAGGAAAGAACATGGCTGTGTTCGAGAAAACTTTACTTACAAAAACAGACAGCAGGACACTTTTGGTTTATGGACCATCGGTTGCTGATCCTTGTGTAAGAGGATCAAAATTTCTAATATGCAGGATAAGTATGAAGTATTTATAAGTATTAGTCATAATCTTAACAATAAATGTTTAGCACAGAATAAACCCTTAATAGATAGCAACTATAATTATTTGGGAACTCTAGCCAGGGAAGCTGAGTTCTAACAGAGACTGTTTTGTATCCTCATTTTACAGAGCAGGAACCTGTTTCTTCCTTTTTGTGCTTTCCATGATGGAAGTAATAAAAATTTATTTTAGAAATTTTGCCTTGATGTATTCTGTTAAGAGGTAGAAGGGAAAATAACTTTGGGTTTGGTAGTTTCAAGGAGAACACCTTTTGTTTGGAGGAAGATAGCCCTGAGCTAACATCTGCTGCCAATCCTCCTCTTTTTTGCTGAGGAAGACTGACCCTGAGCTAACACCCATGCCCATCTTCCTCTACTTTGTATGTGGGACGCCTGCCACAACATGGCTTGGTAAGCAGTGCATAGGTCCGCACCCAGGATCTGAATGAGTGAACCCCGGGCCGCTGAAGCAGAACGTGCGGACTTAACTGCTGTACCTCCAACTGTAAAACAATCCTTCCTGGAAGCATTGTTTTAAGAGTTAAATGAGATCACAGTAGTTGCTTTTAAGCTGCTAGTCCCTCTCTAAATTCCCTTTCTGCTCTGTGCTATCCTGAGTTTGTCCCTCAGATATTAGGTAGAAGAGGACTTGCTCCCCACACCCGTTCATAGGAAATGCTCAGTTGACCGCTTTGGGGAGTTTTTTTTTTAGCAGTAATTCTTAATTGTTTTTCACCTGGAGCCACATAACCACTGATGGTTGTTTGCAAGTCATGCTTTTTTTGAGGGGACTTAAGATTGTGGTGAAACAAAAATTTCTTGGGGGAAATAAAGCCCCACCACAAGTCCTGATAGTTCGGGGTGAGCATCCCAAGTTAGCCTGAGCATCTTGCAGAGCGCCCAGTCACTCAGGCTTTTCCTTTCCACTCAGAGAAGGATGTTGGAATTCAAGTGAATGAGAACCTCCTTTGGAGATGACCTTGAATCCATTCTAATCTATCATAAAATAGAAAGATAAATCATCCTCAAACTTCTAAGCTATCGCTATCATTAGGAATTTACAGCTCACCTCCCATTATCCTGATCTGTGCTTCAGAACTACTGCCTCCAGGTCAGGCAGGCTGTTCTTTCTTCATCTGCATCAAAATCAGCTCTCCCAGGAGAGTCTGGGAGTCCTAAAGGGGGAGTCAACAGTAACACCCCAACTTGTGCCCCGACAGGAACTTGTCAGTCATGGAGCTGGGCCTTATGGTTTACCTCAGAACTTGTTTTTTTCAGCCAGAGGTCTCTGGGAACGGGACGAGTTCACCTGCAGTCACTCTTTTTAGGCAGAGAGTTCTGACCTCAATGCCTTTGTGTGAGAGAGATTCCAAGGGGTTTCCTCACTCACTCAGGGGCTGGTTGCCTGAGAAGGTTTCTTGGGAACTTCCCTGGACCCAAAGAGGGTGAGTATTGGTGAAAAGGGCAGGGACTCAGGTTTATTTTATGGTTCTCTTTGTTTGCAGGGCCAGCGGCCTCTCGAACCCGGAAGGAGCTGGTTGGTGCCCTTGGTGGGGCTGTAACTTTCCCTCTGAACCACTCGGTAAATGAGATTGACAGCATTATCTGGATCTTCAACACAACCCCTCTTGTCACCATACAGCCAAATACGCCAGATGGACAAGCCAACATCATAGTGACCCAAAATCGTAATAAGGAAAGGGTGGACTTTCTGCAAGGAAGCTACTCCATGATACTCAGCAAACTGAAGAAGAAAGACTCAGGAGTCTACCGTGTTGAGATACACAGCTCATCTCTCCAGCATCCCTTCACCCAAGAGTATGGGCTGCAAGTCTATGGTGAGCGGAACCAGTTCCAAAGTAGATGACTGCCTTCATAAAGTGGTGAACTCCATGATACTGGAAATGTTTAAGCAAAGGTTGGATAAATACTCGGCAAGAACGTGCAAGAGGGAACTCCTACATGGATGAAGTAGATGTAGCTGACCCCCGAGGTCCCTTTCTACTCAGATTCTGTAAGAGGCGATGTGCGGCAGAGGATAGGCAATACGGGAAGCGGCCGTCACACAGGTCAAATGCTGGCATCTCTACTTACTGGGTGCATGGCCTCAGCCAAGTTGCTTAATCTCTTTGGAACTTAGTTTCCATATTTGTGATGGGGAGGAAAGTGATGCGCGTCTTAGAAAGATTATTGGTTATAAACATCAATCACACCTCTTCCCCTACAGATTCCAAACAACTGAGAAATCAACACAAGAATTAGAGAGAAGATAAAAATATCAGCTTTAGCTTTTCTAGTAAAGCTAACTAGGAGAAATACTTTTCCCCAAGTTAAGACCTAGAAGCCCATTCAAAGAAGACAATCTTACAAAACAATTACACAACGAGCTGCAAGAATAGCTGCCCCACTCACTGAGCTGTAATATCAGGGACACCAGGAGATGGGCATCCAGATTTGCTTGTAGGAGGTGGACCAAGCACCTTGATCCAGGTGTGTCCTCCATATAGACATAGTTGAAGGGAACAGAAGGCATACATTCTACGAACAAACTAGCTGGGGGAGGAAAAAATGGGCAAATCATATTTAAACAGCAATTTTAACAGCTCAAACCCAGGAGTAGAGAAATGTATATGATGGATGTCACACTCTTATCTCAGCAATGAACCAATTGCTCATCCTCTGAGGGAGAGTAGTGAGCACAAAGTAGAATGGGAGACCTGAAGTTTTATTCTGATACTATTCTCTCTCGGAGAGTGAAGTGAAAGTCTCTTCAAGGAACCTGAGGACAGGGGAATAGGAAGCCTCTAAAAAGGATAAAATTAGCCAGCATCTAAAATGCATTTCACATAGCGCTTGCCATATGGCTGTGCTTAGTAAAGGGCACCTGCATTATTGTTGCATTGTTATTATTTCTATTACTACTGTTGTTGTTATATAGCCGTAGGCAAGCAGACCTAGATAGTTCTCTTTCCCAGATAAGAATGAAAACTCTGCTCTGAATTGCTGCTTCCTCTCTACTATGTAGCACCCTAGAGATTCACATCCAAGGTTTATAAGAATAATTCAGGAAAAAGAGGGCTATAGGCATAGTTTCCACCCTTGGTTGTCCATTTCTCTTTTATAGAGTACCTATCAAAGCCCAAAGTCACCATGGGTCTGCAGAACATTGAGAACGACACCTGTGTGACCAATCTGACATGCTCCATGGAACAAGGAGGAGAGGATGTGACTTACACCTGGAAGTCCCTGGGACAGGCAACCAATGAGTCCCATTATGGCTCCATCCTCCCCGTGTCCTGGAGGCTGGGGAAAAGGGACATAACTTTCATCTGCGAGGCCAGGAACCCCATCAGCAGCAACTCTTCAAACCCCATCTTTGCCCAGAAGCTCTGTGAAGGTGACTGTCTCTCTTTCTCCAAGAGCTTCTGGTCTCAGGACTTATACCTTCTTTAGCCCCAGGTCCTCACGGGAACAGGCCCTGTGTGAAAAATGGGTGCCCCTGGGAAGTCTCAAGACTGGGGGGAAGGTGGGAGTTGCTCAAAAGTAGGGTCATGTTCCCTAGCTGACTCTTCTCCTTTCCCTCCACCCATTCATTCTCCACCCATTCTCTCTTCAAAGGTGCCCCTAGGGACCCAACTTCGTCCATGGTCCTGAAGCTCCTGGTGGTGCTCTTCCTTCTCAGTGCCTTTGCACTGGTGGCAATTATTTTGATTATGCGGAAAGAAAGAGGAAAAGGTAGAACATGTACTATTTTTGTCTTCACCCTCATTCATGCATTTTCTCCCTCATTTATTCAATAAGCAGATGTTAAACTATGTGCCAGGCTTTGTACTAGACACTTAGGGTACAGAAATGAAGAGGCCGTGGTCTCTGTCCTCAAGGAGAACACCATCAGCCGGTGCTCCTTAGTTCTGGAGAGTGCTTGCGTCCTTAACTTCTCTCCTAAGGCCAACATCCTCCCAGTTCCCTCTCCAGTGCCCACCCCTTTGCTTTCCCCAAAGGAACTTACTGGTGTGGCCCTCCTGTTGACACAGGTCTCACAATGCTGATTCTGCCCTCCTGATCTGGGAGGTGATGGCCTCCAATTCTGAGGTCCCACAGAGCAGCACCCTCCAGTCAGCCCTTCCAATCCTCATCCTGTCAGAGCCCCCCAACCAGCCCTAGTCCTCTCCATTGGATCAATGCCAGAGACTTCTCTTTATTTCCTACCTCAGTCTAGTCACACTCCACCTAGAGAAACCTGTCTCTATCTCTTTCCATGCCACAACCTATACTTTGCGTCCCTAAACTCGGCTGATTTGTCTTCTTGGGTTCCTACTGATACTGTCCATGTAGGGTGTTGGGGAGGGACCTGAGCATCGGTTGGGTATGAACTGCAAACTTAAAGATTTTCTTTCCCTCTTGGAAGCACTCTGAAACCATTTCTGACCTTCTCTGCTCCCCTTTTGGCTGCCTTGATCCAGAGACTGGACAGTGAAGTGACAAGGGTAACCAGTTCCTCCTGGGATTTTCCTCGATTTAGCACTGAAAGCCCGCTGTGCCGGAAAACCCTTCAGTTACAGGGAAACCGGGATAGTTGGTCATCCTAAGTGGGTAGTCCACACAGGGTGGTGGGCCAGTGGGGGTGGTGAGTAGAAGGAGGGGCCAGTTCTAATTCTCTCTCAACTTAGTTTCAGAGTTCATTGAAGAGAAGAAGAGAACAGACAATCAACAAGAAACTCTTAACTATAACCCCCCTTCTGGAGAGACTGCAGAGTATGACACAGTCTCTCACCTTAATGTGAGTCCTTTCCCATCTTTCCTGGGGCCTGATCCTCCTCTCTGAGGCCCTTCTGGTTTTACTTGAGATTTTTCCATGAATTTGGGCAACATGGAAGAAGAGGATGTATAGCCCTTAAAATCCAATGCATCTGTGTCTCCCCTAGTCTTTATGGCTTCTCTCTTCTGCAGAAGTTTGTGGCCTGGAGCACCTGGTTCTGACCTAACCAGTAATGCTCACACTGTGACCTATGGAATTGTTCCTTTCCCTCCATAGTTCACAATAGCAGCTCAATGGGCCTGATTCCTTTTGCATAGAACAGCAAGTAAGGAAGTGTGACTTTGACACGATTGAATTACGGTGTCACAAGACTGGATCTAGAGATGCCCTTTCCTCTGAGGAATCTCAAGGAACCATCAGGAGAGGGCTCAGAGGGCCCGTGGTGGCTCTCAGCCCATGCTTAATGCTTCCCAAGTGTAGGTCACTAAGCTGAAGTGAATGAACACAAAGTTAATTCAAAGGAAACTCTTTTCTTTTTTTTCAGTTCATAATAGTTTACATCATTGTGAAATTTCAGTTGTACATTATTTCTTGTCTGTCACCACATAAGTGCTCCCCTTCCCCTGGTAATCACTGAACTGTTTTCTTTGTCCATGTGTTTGTTTATATGCCACATATGAGTGAAATCATCTGGTGTTTGTCTTTCTCAGTCTGGCTTATTTCGTTTAGCATGATTCCCTCCAGGTCCATCCATGTTGTTGCAAGTAGGATGATTTTGTCTTTTTTTATGGCTGAGTAGTATTCCATTGTGTATATATATATCCCACATCTTCTTTGTCCCATCATCAGTTGATGGGCACTTGGATTATTCAAAGGAAACTCTTTGAAAAGGAAATCATAGGACTAAAGTTTAAAGAAACTCAAACAACAAGAGACAATTTGGAGACATGGACTAGGTTGACAACTTCAACAGGCTCCCCAGGAACAATTGTCATAGGCCAGGCTGGGCTAGCTCCTTAGAGGTCCTACAGCATTCTTCCACATAGGTCCACTTAATAAAGAAGTAGAAACACTTTGAAGCCTCAAAATCTCAGTTTTACTCCAGCCTTTGGCATCTCCTGATCAGGTTGCATCTTCCCACACTTGCCTATAACTTTTCCAAGAGGAGACGTCATGTTTCCTATTTGAAATTGTGGTCTCCTGAGAGCTCCTTCCTTCCTCATGGGGGAGACTGCTTTGTGCTCCACTCAGCCTGGCTTCTGTCACAGTTGGTCACTTTATCACCATCCTTCCTCTACCCCGGCTCAAGCCAAGTTTCCAGGAGACCACACGACTGTCCTGGGTGCTCAGGAATAAATTTCATCTACCCAGGAAATTTTCTCCAGCCTGGAAGGAAATTTTGTTGTTGCTGTCATTGGTGTTTTGTGTTGGCGCATCAGTCACCCTTACTGATTTGCTCCAGAAGCCCTTCAGACTGATGAAAAAGTTTATTTGCAACATTAGCAATATTGTTTCAAATTACCCTTTAGTCACCTTAGGAGGGTAACAGCTCATGGGACTTATATCTCTTATATATTTTTTAATTCATTTAAACACAACACAGTTGAAAAGTAATGTGCTTCCTTCTTAAAAGAAACTTATTAGCAATTATAATAGCGGTCACGAACAAGAGCGCTTCCCACTACCCATTCCTGTTTCAGAGCACTCTCTTCCCTCTCACCATCTCCTCCTATCTCTGCTTTCCCTTCTCTGGATTCTGGGTATCTCTTTGGCCTTGTCTATGTGACCCAGGAGGTGGGTGATGATTTCTTTTGTTTGTTTTTTTAACAGAAAACTGTTCCAGAGGAAAATCTAGTGAATACATTTTATGCCACTGTGCAAATACCCCCAAAGGTAAGATCCTTTAAAGCTGAGCTTCATCTTAGTTGTTCCATCCTTTTTCCTGGTTCAAGCTTAGCTTACAATTTCTTGGGCCCCAGGGATCTCGTGTTCCTTAGTATTAAAATTTACCCCAGTGTGTCTCCATTCCCTTTGCTTAGGGGTACAAAAGAATATGGGGAATAGGAGAGAATTGTGTTTTAGGAGTTGAATGGGGGCAATGTGGAACAAATAGAGTAGGAGAGAGGTTCCAGGTAGGAGCGACAGGGAACATCATCAAGATCCTGACTGATGGCATGGATGGAGGAACAGTCCATGGCTTAGGCTGTGCCTGGGAGGGGAGGGAGAGCTGGAGAAGCAACTCCAGCTTGCTTCTGAGTGACCAGTAAACTGGAGGCAGGAGAAATTTCCTTTTCATTTCCATGGTCTTTCTATGTTACATCTTATTTGCATGTACCCTGGCCCCAGACAAACTACTAATGTAGTAAGCTTTCAAGCTCATTGCTTCATAGATCATACTTGGCAGAAGCAGTGATACCTCCCTGTCTCCTTTCCCAACCAGATCAGAAAAGTTGAGAATGGACAAAGCAGTTTGCTTAGTAATAGGAAAGGTTAGTTCTGATGGGTGATTGGAAGGAAAGTTCAGTTCATTAAACACTCAACAAGATAAATGCAGATTAACCCTTAAGAAATAGTTTCTCTAAAATCAGAATGATTAAACAGTGAGAGCAAGCACAGCAGGAGGTTTGGGTTGGGTAACCCTAGCAATGAAGAGTGTCTGGATGGTGGGGTCTCCTGTGGGGTATCCAGAGCCCTGCCCACTTCCAGTGCTCTGCATCTTTATGTCTGCCTTACAGATGGAGAAACATGACTCTCTGCCCACGTCACCAGACACACCGAAGCTGTATACCTATGAGAATGTCACCTAAACAGCACTGTACTCCCTCCTGTCTTGCCCCAGAGAAAACTGTTGAAAGAATTTACTGATTCGATCAAGGAATAATGAAGAACACTGACTTCCTTTCAGAATAAACTATCCCTTATGCTCCTTCAGATTTAAGAGTTTCTGGTTCTACCCACTGCTGAGAAATCTCCTCAAACCCAGAATGTGTAACTGTCCCATCCTGGAAATGTGATTGTGAATTTATTAGCCAACTCCAAGCAAGGGGCTTTGAAGTGTCTCTGTTGAGATGTAAATGCTGTGTCACACGTATGAATGGCCACTCCCATCCCAGGGCTTGGAGGTCAGAATATACCAACGATCTGGTTGCCAAGAGGGCAAGAACTTCAGAAAGGCAGACATTCCCAGCAGAAGCAGGCATAGAAGCCAGAGATGGATTTATTAGCCAACTCATCGACTGTGTTCCTGGCACTGTGCTGAGCTTACAGTGATTGCGGTCAGACACACTCTCTGCTCTCATGAAACTGACCCCTCACGAGCTACTTCCATGGGCAATTGCAGCAGACCTGACCACAGATTCCCGACACCTAGAGGATGAGATGTGGACTTGGGGGCAAAGCGCACAAGGACAGAGAAGACAGGTAGAAGACTGAGTTTGGCTGGATGGAAGTGATACTGAACATCTCAATTTCAAGTTCATGTGCCCGATGTGCAGTAAACCAATCACTGAGACATTGGTGCTTGGAGACGGAGAAAGGTTTATTCAAATTGGCTAAAATGAGAAGGCGGGAGCGTGGATTCTCTCAAATCCACCTTAACAGGAGCAGAAAGCAGGGTGTTTTATAGAGCTAAGGGGCTTCACAGGAGGAGCTTCAGAGAAACAAGAGGTCACTCCTGGCCCCTGGGCAATCTGACTTCTGGGTGTTAATAGCAGTTGGGAGCCCACCATCCAGGTGATTGCGACCTCCCTAAAGGCATTCTCTTTCTTCTGCAAAGCAAGCTTACAAATCCTCATGACCCCCGAGTCACCCCTCAAGTTAAATAGGAAAACAGCAAATTGACAAGAATAACTTCTCTTAAAGGCAATCATGTTCTTATTGAATATCCACGGTAAGTACCCTGCTTCAGAAACTCAGAAGTGTGCCTGACCCAAAGACAAGGGCCACTGCCCCAGCTTCATTTACACTGTTGTGCTGCAAGTGAGAAGCCAAGGCCTGTACAGGAGCCCATCCCATTGGAGAAATTGAGCCTGAAGACACATTTCAAACCCATTATTGGAGACTTGGAGTCAGGGGGTGGTCACTTGCAAACCTTTAAAGCCCCTTAATTCATTCAACAAATATTTATTGAGAACCTCTGCTAGGTCGGCCTGGCAAATAAGACAGACATGATCCCTGCTCCCGTAGACTTCACTTTCTTTTTAATGAAATGAAAAACATGAAGAGGGAGAGGGCTGCTTTTGATGTGTTCCTGGACACACATCTTGAGTGGAAATGCCGGGAAGGGATCTGATGTCCCAGGTCTGGAAGTGTTAAGTGTCAAATGACAAAACTAAAACAATTTAGTAACAAATTTGTCCTTTATTCAAGGAAAACAATCCATGAACTGGGGGAGTACAGTGCCTCACAAGCAGTGGAGCACAGTTCCTAAGGGATTTGGGGCAAGAGTGAGTTTTGTGTGTGTGTGTGTGCTGAGAAAGATTTGACCTGAGCTACCGTCTGTGCCAATCTTCCTCGATTTTGCATGTGGGTTGATGCCTCAGCATGGCTTCCAATGAGTGGTGTAGATCTGTGCCCAGGAACTGAACCTGGGCCACTGAAGCAGAGCATGCAGAACTTAACCCTTAGGCAATGGTGCTGGCCCAAGAGGAATTTTTATAGAGCATTATGGGAGGCAATGCATGATTAGCTAGGAGGTCAGGGATTTCCCTATAAGGCTGGTGGGTCCTTTTTTCTAGGGTAAGCATAACCTAGCTAAGCTGAGTTGGAGGACTGGGTTTGGTGCATGTTAGATTTCTTTGACAGGTGATTCCCATAAGTGCAGGCTGACTTAAGATTGATTTACGACCTGGGCTGGGCCATGGGGGTGGCCTCCATTTTGTGGATCCCAATATACGAATTAACTTTATCAGAGGTAAGGTGAAGAAATGTGTGTTAAAATTTGTGAAAGGAGGGGCTGGCCCCGTGGCCGAGTGGTTAAGTTCGCGCGCTCCGCTGCAGGCGGCCCAGTGTTTCGTTGGTTCGAATCCTGGGCGCGGACATGACGCTGCTCATCAAACCACGCTGAGGCGGCATCCCACATACCACAACTAGAAGGACCCACAACGAAGAATATATAACTATGTACCGGGGGGGCTTTGGGGAGAAAAAGGAAAAAATAAAAAAATCTTAAAAAAAAAAAAATTTGTGAAAGGAGAAAATATCTGAAAAAAACCCCTTCAAACATAAGATGATCAAAGTAAGAGATAATAAGCCTTCAAGAAAAAAACTAAGGAGGAGGGGACCAAGAGAACAGTTTGAGGCTGATTTGAGAGGAAATGAAGGTTGGAAGTAGGAGGCAATCCTGGAACTCTGAGGACCCTGGAAGGAGGGCTGTGCTGGCCTCCACGTGGAGCTCTGCAGGTGCAGAGGAGGAAAAATAATTTTTCCTCTACCCTTCTGCGTTCTTGGCTGAGATTCCCCTGTAATAAAAGAGAGATTAACAGGAGGAAAACAAATAGGAGATTAATAACATGTATACCTCCTGTATACATGGGAGAGACCCAGGAAAACTGAGTAACTCCCCGAAAAGACCCTTGCCACCACCTTGTGTACCACTTCTATACCAGCTAAAGACAAAAGAAGAGATTGGGGGAGGACGGCAGTTATGGGAAGTCATCAGGCAAAGCCCAGTAACTGAGGGTATGGCTGTTATGCAGATTTAAGTTCATGCCTTCTCCATTGATAAGAAGTTTCTAGAGATTTAGTCATTCTTCCCCTTCTGGTACAGAGAGGGAAACACCCTTACGAAAGGAAATTTTCCTTATAAATGCAAGTATCTCTTACAAAAATGTAACTTCTACTTGTTTTTAGAACTTCTCCTGTGTCTGCTGTTTCTTATAAATAATCAGTTGAGGGGCTGGCCCCATGGCCATAGTTAAGTTTGTGTGCTCCACTTTGGCCCAGGGTTTTGCCAGTTCGGATTCTGGGTGCAGAATGGCACCACTCATCAGACCATGCTGAGGTGGCATCCCACATAGCACAACCAGAGGCATTCACAACTAGAATATACAACTATGTCCTGGGGAGCTTTGGGGAGAAGGAAAAAAAAAGAATATTGGCAACAGTTAGCTCAGATGTCACTCTTTAAACAAAAAAGAAGATTAGAAACAGATGTTAGCTCAGGTGCCGATCTTTAAAAAAAAAAATCACCTTAAGAAAATAATCAATTCAAAATAATTCTTATGCCAAAGAGGCATAATCTGGGATGGCACATCCGGTTCCCCTTCACAGGTGTGGCCTGCCTGGGGCACTGCATGCCACAGAGCACCATTCACATGATAAATATTGTAAATGCCTGTATTTATTACTACAATTTTCCTGAGGGAAAAAATAAAGCGTCCTTTCTAAATAAAATCAGTATGTCTTGAAGAAGAGGCATTTTTTCTAATTCTCACAGAGGTGGTGGAGGTTGGGGCGTGGCTGTAGTAGCATTTGAAGGGGAGAAAGATTTACATTGGAGCCAGAAGTGGACACTAGGATCTGAAATTTGTCCAGTGCCAACTGAGTAGTTGTGTGACCCACAGTGATGCCACCTCAGCTGTGACACCATACCACGTGATCAGGGCCTAGGGTGAAGCAAGTGAGGCACAAAATTTAAGGGGGCACCCAGACACTCCGCCATCAAGGTAAATAATGTTTTTGTGTAATATTTTAAAAAATCAAAACTAATGCAAAAAATCCGTGATGGACAAAATATCAAAATTTTCAATAAAGAAGTGCCATGTCAAGTTAGATTAGAGACTGAGGAAAAAGGAAAAATTAGTAATCCTGATTGTGTGTTGAGTCAGAATTTTGGTATTTCATTCTCTGAGCTGCACAGTTGTTTTTCCTTTAGCCCTAAGCCAGATGGGTCCTCAGGCAAGACTATGAGTCCCCCATTATTCTAACTGGGGAAAATCCCCCTAATTTATGGTACTCGCTAAACTAAGATCACAGCCTCTCTGGGTGGGGCCTCAGGTGTCTGCCTGACTCCACTGGAGAAGAAGTATCGTTGAGATTCTCCTGGCATTTTGCACCTGCCTGAACTCCCAACAAGAGGTGAGTCTTCTAAGACCCTCCAATTTCCCCACCCCAGCCCTACCCTGTAATCCCCTGCTGGGAGCCAGTTGCTTTCACGTAAAGAAAACTTCTGTTCCATAGGCCCTCATATGACTCCTCTGAGACAAACTGTTCTGGAATACTTATGTCCAGTTTATGGGTGTGAAACTGAGGCCAAGAGAAACTAGGAGACTTGCCTGAAGTTCCACTTTCAGTATGAAACCAAGGGTATAACAAAAGCAGTGCCTGCTCCCCTGCCACAGCCTGCAGAGGATGAGGAAGATGGAGCTCAAAGCTTGAGAGGGATGGAGCCCTCTCTTCCCAAGTAGAACACGGAAGAAAGGGCATAGCTTTGGACACAGACGGGCCTGGGCTTGAAAGCCCTTACTAGAAGGATGTCCCTTGCCAAAGGCTTGGGTTCGGTGAGTCTCTATTTTCTTATCTCTAAAACTCCTATGGGGCTTGCAATGTGGGGATTATACGAAACAAGTGTAAGTGCTTGGCACATAGTAGTAGATTCATATATGGTACATGATGCTTAGGGAAAGGGATAGTACATAAAAAATGGTGAACTTCCCCAAAGTCAACTTAGAATAAGATACGGAAGCATTAAAATGGAGAATCAGCCCTTAGAAGAGGGGTGTCGGGTGTTAGAAAATGATTAAAGAAAACAATTTAGGTGATATGAACAAACTTTATTTAATACTTCATGAGGTGGACAGTCTCCATTCAGAGAACTGCAGAATAGGCCAGAGGCAGGAAGCTTTCATAGGATAAAGAATAAAGAGCAAGGAAGAGAAAAAGAGAAAAGATCTGATTGGCTGGGCCAGATAGTGAACCTTGTTTGAGGTGAGGAGGCCCAGAGTTGGCTTGGCATTTGGGGATTGACCGGTCAAGTGGAGCATTTATGGAGACACAAAAGTTATCTAAGTTTTGGTTTGCTAATGTGGCACCCCAGACACCTTGGACCTAGAAATTTATTTCAACACTGGCTTACAGCAAAGAGAAGCAGAGAAAGAGGGGGGAAATGGGAATTCACTTTCCCTCCAAATAATGAAAGAACTTCAACACATTGCTTCCCTGGGCAATAATGGGATTAAGAATCATCTTGCCTCAAAAAGGCACTGTGGGGGCCAGCCCAGGGGCCGAGTGGTTAGTTTGTGTGCTCCGTTTCAGTGGTCCAGGGTTTCACGCGTTTGGATCCTGGGTATGGACCTAGCACCTTTCATCAAGCCATGCTGAGGCAGCATCCCACATAGCAGAGCTAGAAGGACCCACAACTAGGATATACAACTATGTACTGGGGGGCTTCAGGGAGAAGGGGGAAAAAAAAGAGGAAGATTGGCAACAGATGTTAGCTCAGGGCCAATCTTCAAAAAAAAAAAAAAGGCACCGTGAAATTTTTATACAAAAACATACATTATTTTGCTATTTGTGATAATGAAATTCTGGAAACTACCAAAGAGTCTGGCCACAGGGAGAGGTTAAGGGAATGCAGACACTAGGAATTATGGATTATAAAACTAGAACATGTTATGATGTTGAAGTGTAGTTGAATGTGCCACCCCAAAATGTACCTCTTAGGCATAAGGACTTTTTTGAGCTGATTATTTTTAAGAAACAGCAGGCACTCTGAAAACTCAGCAAAAGTTACCCTTTAGTAAGGAATATTTATATTGATAATCTCCACTCGTAAGGGTGCCTCCCTCTTTGTACTAGGAAGAGAAGAATAACTCGAAGTCACAAGAAATTCTTAACAAAAGATAAACTGTTATCAAAGGCACTGACTTAAATCTATATAATAACCGTACCCTTTACTGTGCTTTTCCTGGTCTCCTTCCATAACTGGCTCCCCCAACCCACCACATCTTTCTTTTGTCTTTAGCTGAAGATAGTATTTAAGGTGGTGGCTTAGGCCATTTCAGGGAGTAACACAGTTTTCCTGGGTCTCTCCCATGTATACAGGAGGTATACATGTTATCAAACTTCTGTTTGTTTTTCTCTTGCTAATCTTTTATTACAGGGAGGTCTCAGCCACAGAACCTAGAAAAGTAGAAAAAAGATTATTTTTCCTCCTCTACACTATCACAAGTGAAAAAAGTAGAAGGCAAAGTTTAATGTGCTGTATGATTACGACTATGTTTTTAAAACACCCATGCGTGGAAAAATTTAGAAGAAAACACATCCAAATATTAACACTGGTTTTGGGGGGAGGATGAAATCTTAGGTGGCTCGGTTTCCTTCTACTTATCTTTATTTTCCAAATGTTCTTTG